AGACTCATTACTGTCCTTCCCCTCATGTTGAAAGTGCTATTTGTGTGAATGAAGGACTAACAGGTGTAGAGAGAGTAACAGAGAGAGAGAGCGAGAGACCGGGAAAGAGAAGGAAGATGTGATCCATCTCAATAAAAGAAAAAGTATGGTGTCATTAATGCTTTTTATTACATGGTGGGAAAAAAGCACACTTAGCAGTTTATAGATCTTAAGGTGGCCGACATGAGGTTCAACAATACACACAAAGATCTATACATAAGGTGATGATCTTCCTCTCTCTGTAGAAAATCAAAAGTGTTTCTTGTCCAGTGTTTAAAGCAAAAAAACACAATTTACTACACTTTGGGATTAGTTACACAATAAAACCAAAACGTCCAACAGAGGTTTTGTGTTTTCTGTGGATTTTGCCTCATCTGGTCCATAAAAGCATCGTCACAGACACATATTCTTTGCAAAAAAATTTGGGGATGCTTTTGGATCACTATTAATTTATCCACATTACACATCCATCCGTAACTGTAATACATTGTTGATATATTCACACATCTCTGCACCTATTAAACCAACTCATTCACCAGTTTTGGGCAACTAAGCCACATTCATCCAAATATATCTGTCGCTTTTTCCCAGCTATCCACGCAGGCTTTCATATCCTATTCTTCAATAAATGCATCCATCTATCCATCTGGCCATGATGCTTTGTCCTCACACACATCACTACATGCTGGCTTTTGTGCATTCATTACTCTCCATTTCTGACATGAAAGACATCTCACTTTGGACATTACAGACCTCAGTCCTTTCCCCTGCCAATCCCAACCACCCACTTATCTGCCACTTTCTTTTTCTTGGTTTTTTTGCCTTACATTGCTCCTCTGCATCCTAGATGAAACGACAAAGCTCAGATTCTTTCCTTCTATCAGCCATCCAGCTATCATGCACGTCATCACACACAGTCTCTTATCCTGCTCTTTTTTTCCTTTTGCCATAAGCCTGCAATTATAGACCCTGCCACAAGACACAGGAGTGAATATGCGCCTTACTGCAATCACTCGTTCGTCTCTTACTCCACCTTTTTCTGCAGTGGACTCAGCTGCAGACACTCACTGTTGCACCTCTCTCTCGACCTCATTTGTACACATTGAAAACAATATAAACCAAAAAAAATCCAAATTTTAATTAATCACTCCATAACGAACTCCACCTGCTGCCACTGTGCTTCTACCTCAGCCCTTTTCCCCATTACTGTTTCTTACAGAATGGCTTCTTGAAACCACTTCTGATGAGGCTTCAGTGAACAGTAGGTCACCTGTATCAAGTGAAGGGTCAGATGCATCTCTCGGGTCATGTGTCAGGTATTTAGTGGATTTATAAAGAATATAGCTTTCAGATACTGTTCACCTGCTATATTTATATATGTTTTTTCTTAACTTTGGAATTTTTAATAGACTCAACAAAATGGGAAAACATTTTGTATACTCGTACAATAAGCCTGTCTTTTCCAGACACTATTGTTTTTCACAGAGAGTAGGTCGATTACTACGCTCCGCTTAAGTGCAACTCAGTACCATTAAGAGCTGACAATGCAGGTCATCAGGATTGCAGATCGTCAGTATCACTGGAGATTTTACTTAATATAACTCAGTGCTTAATTGCAAATACACCATGGAAAGCAGAGAAGCATAAACGGAACTTTTCAAGTTCAAGTCCTTGACTTGCTCAAGTACCAGCAAGTCAAGACAGTCAAACTCAAAAACCTTCACAGCAGCAGTTTTGTTTGCAAAGGGATATAAAAAAAAATAAAAATAAAAATAAAAAATCAATGTTTCCTATTCAGCTACTGCAATTCCAAAAGATTCTCTCTCTTCTTCCTTCTGTCAAACTCAACCTCTTAACATAAATTCTCTTCTACTTCTCAGTGACCTTATCTCCCTTCTCACCTTAAAAAATTCCAGAATTTCACCTTGGGTAAGGGAATAGCTGGAAATATATGTATTTGCCCATTAAGCATGAAAAACAGTGTGCAGGTAGAGTGCTGGGTTGTTGCTGGATCTGAATGGGCATTCAATATGTGAATATTTCCAAAAGTTAGCACAATCGACCCACAATTAGTCTGTGTTGCACTATTTACACCATTTATATATGTGCAGCCCTGTTTGTTTTTAACCATTACTTAGTGATAACGATCAAGTATGGACATCTAACAGTGCCCGTCTCATTAAAATGAGTCAAAGTTCCATGAATCCGAGTTTAATCAAGCTTAGGGATGCTGGAGTGTAACTGCCTCCTCTACAGAGGTTTTCGAGAAAACAAGTTACCAGTAGACGTTTGTGTAAACTGGCTCTATACAGGCCCATCGTTTCATTTTTGAAGGGATTACTGGTGTGTTGTTTTTTTGTTTTTTCATTTTCTTTTAGTGCTGCCTGAGGTGATTTTGGTTCATCTATCTTGAAGTGTGATCTGATGTGTGTGTGTATGAATTTATGGGCAATCCACATGTTTCTTTAGTGTCCAACAAAATAAGGCCTGGATTATTGTGTAAGATTTTCTTTTGGAAGACTGCAAGCGTTTGAGAATGAAGCTGGGTGAGGGGCGAATGCTTGTGTGCTGGATGACCTGCGGGATTCATAAAGCTAGTAGTTTTACAAGGCCTAGTCTCCTCTTCTGAACTTTTTACTGCTGAGTGACGTGCCACTTGGCTTCCTGTGAAATCCTTCTTTTCCCTTTCTTTTTGATCTCAGTTTCTGCTCTCCATTTCTCTTTCTGCTTGCTTTCCTCTTCATCCATGCCCCCTCCCACCATGTCTCTGTCTGTTCCTTTCTTCCCCTCCCTCTACGTCTGGCAGTAAAGGCTGATGGAGTGTGAAATTAGAAAGTGTATCATATTCTGCTCTGTGGCTCCATGTCCTGAGCTATAAGCTATAGCTAGTCAGAGTGAAAAATAACATGCAGTGAAACAGATACATTAACATGGTTTTGTGTGTACATGTGCGTGTGTGTGTACATGTGCGTGTGTGTGTGTGTGTGTTGAAAAGGACAGTTTAGCCGGCCTGCAGCTTATCTGAAATTACTTATCTCACGGATGATACACTGGGGCTTCTTCCTAAACTACAGGACTGAGCATGGATTCAAATTATGGACAAACATAAATACACACCTGACTCAGTTGCTGAGTGCACACAATTTGAATAGCGTGTTGTAAACAAAATTTTAATAGTTTTGATAAAGAAAGTGCACAGAGTGAGATATAGATCCTCTCACTAATTGAAAAAGACAAGACCCCAGTATTTGATCAAATACATCCATAGTCCCAAGAAAGAGTTTGCAGACCAAGATTTCTGTACTTACTGCTGATACAATATATAACCTTCATCTGATTTGCAAAATACATAAAGAACTGAGTGTAAGATGAAGTCCACACCACACTTTATGAGCAATGAACGCATCCTAATCCTGATTTTAAACATTTTTTTGCGACTGTAATTATCTGTTAGGTGTACCTGCTGCACATTACATTTGCTTCCAACACAACTCACCGTCTCAGGTTCACTATTTGTTCCACCTTGGACAACTATCAGTTTGCTTACAGTGTAGCTTACAAAGAGCAACCTACAAACCTTGTTCCCAAGATGCTGTAGCTGATTTGTTCAGAGCACTATCCACCAAGTGGCTATTAGAACAGGAACCAGTAGTACCACATCATGTGAGGTGGTCTTAATAAAAGGGAACACTGGGTCGTGAAAGTATATTGTGGAGTCAGTTAAACTTCAGGGATATATATGTGTCCACTTTGGAAGCATAAGTCACTTTCACCTGCTTTGGTGCAAATTAAAGTGACAGCAGTTGCACAGGAGGCTCAACAACAAAACCTCCAAAAAATAAAATAAAAAAGGAGAATGTCTTTGGAGCCATAGACCATTGTTACTTTTCTTGCCATTCTTGGTATTATGGGAAAGTACCTGCAACCCATTCACATTGCACAAGTGTTCCACTTCTTGCAGTAGGACATTTTCATTGGCGCCAGAAGCTTTTTGTGTCTCCCAGCACCGTCTCAAGAATAGGGAGTAAATACTGTACACAAGAACAGCTGGACAGGTCTGTAAAAGTGCATCAACCAAGCACCAAGACCCAAATCTGCTCTTTTGTACAAGGAGGAGCAGGAGGAGCTCTACCAGAACCCTACAAAATTCTTCAGTAACATGCACACATGTAACCTACTGTGTTAGCATACGGTGCCGTGTACATATTCGCACCGTGCAGTGAGCACTCCTGTGCACAGATCATAATAAAGGACCAAGAACCCTCATGCCGCCCTCACGGAGGCCGATTCTGATAGGCTGAGGAGAAACATGCACAAGTAGCCTGCTGCATGCATTTTATGTCTCCTCCTGTTTCTCATCACATAAAGCAGCAGATACCATGCCTTGTTGCTGGCTCAGTGCCCTTCTATGGTCATGTCCAGCTCTCCTTCACACTCCTGAGACTGTGCTGAGACACAAAACGTCTTGTGAAGGCATGTGCAGAAGTGCAATCCTGGAGGAGCAGGTCTGCTTGTGCAGCCTGAATGGGCTGTAGGTATGGTCACATTGACACACTAGCCTAAAGCGAAAGTAGAGAGAAATTAGTCAGGAGGGAGAAGGAGAGAGCACTGATCTGTAGCCAACATGCACAAAACTTCCCTTTTTGGGAGTTGTGTTGTTTTTGCCTCTCCAGTGGACCAGAGCAGGGATAATGGACTCACAGTGATTTATACTTTGTAACTTGACACATTGATATCCCTGAAGTTTACCTTATATTGTGTTATACTGTGATCACCTGGTGTTCTTCATTTTTTGAACAAGTGTGTTTTTGGTATACTGTATATGAATATTTGAAAGACGATATCTGTTTGTGCATCCATTTAAAAATGTCATAGCACCATAATGAGTGACTGACAAGACAATGACACATCTAGGCATTAATTTAATTACTGTAACTGTAAGCATGCATGTATGTGCTTACCTGCAGCAGACCAGACACCTCTCCTTTCTGAAGCGGCATGGCAATGGAAGGAGTGAACGGCTTACTTTCCTCTACTGGTTTGCCTTTCATGAAGTGTTTTCCTGCCTCATAGACGTCCACCACAATCATCTTTCCTTTAAACTCCACCCTTTTAGGTACCAGCACCTGCAAATCGGAGGACATCATAACTGACTTCACTGCAAAAAAATACACAAATAAAAAACACTTTAAGGCAAAAATTCTAACAACTCCATACTGCTAAAATTTCAAGGTAGAATTTAATGGATTCAAATTGTGTTGTTTGCCGCTTAGTCGCCTTCTGTGGAGTACATGGAAGATAACTAAAAGACTTTACTGTGGCTGACATAAAAAAGCAGACCTATATAACCGTCCACTCCACCAGATAATGTTCTCTGGTTCTTTACATCTGTCAACCTCCATATTGATTTAGCCAGTCCAATAAAAACCGATGACGACGACAGCGGAAAAAAACAAACAACCCCCCCCAACTGAGTGCTTTCAGTTCCATTTATGGAAGACCTCAAGGTCGACAAGTACAGGAACAGCTGGGCGCTAAACCAGAGGGAAGGATTTGCTGGTTTGTCTTATTATTTCACCATGGCAACTGCACATCTTAGCTGATCACAGCAGGAAGGAAAGGGAAAACAAAGAGTTATAATTACGGATTCATGTGGAAGGGAATTTGTTCTTAATGACTTATTCCTGTAAATAAAGACTGTATGAAAATACTTTTTCCTTCAAAGACAATTTCAAACTAGCTACAAAGTCAACAAGCTGATAATGATGTATGGTGTATGATTATCGTGCCGATTTACTCCCTTTCTTCGGCTCTTCTTTTCAGATTCAGTCGTTTTATGTAGTAAACACTAATTAAATGATTTGGTGTGCGTGCATTTTTGAAGGATGTCAGGCAGTTATAAAAACTTCTTAAATTCTAATCGCTGCAAAAGTGTGACTTTCTTTGTGAAGAAGGCATCATTTTTTATCAAGCTTTGTGAACACCATAGGAGAATAATAGCAGATGTAAATCCATCCACCTAGATGGTTTACATCTGACACTACACAATAACCTTTGAAAAAGTTGTTTGAGAACTTGTTAGCATATTATACATCATCAAAGATAAAGATGATGTACAAAATGAATAATGATGATAATAAGATGGCATGTCACTGATCCTTGTCCCTGCTATAAGTCCTGTAACGTTTTTGTTTAATCCTTTCCAAGGACAGATCAGAGTTTGGGTCATCAGCCTCAGACATGCTGGGAATTCAATGTCTTGTACACATTGGCTTCAGCAAAGCGCTGACGTGCCGACTCGGATCATCTGGTGGTCCGTCTAACCATTACACTACTCTGCAGGGCTTAGGCACTGACTGAGCAGAGAATAGCGTATGAACTGGAGGAGAGATTGTTACTGGTCTGATGGCAGAGGCACGCCTGCCTCAGTGTTAATCTGTCAGCCTTCATCCAGCTGGTAAAATATGATAGGAGACGGAGTGCTGGCCAAACAGACACAAAGCCAGCACGACGTCTGCCCAATCAACACACCTGCTGCTCAACACTCTGACCACAGAGAGAGGCTGTGTGTGTGCGTGTAAGTTACCAGCAGCCAGACTGTGAGTGGAGAGGTGAAACCGCAGGGCTGTGGAAGAGATAGCTGTCTTTGTGTGTGTGTGTAGGTGAGGGTCATTCGTTGCCCATTACATAGTGATTAAATGATGAAAGAGCTTGTCTGATTTCATTGGAAACCCCCTCTCCTGCTGCCTCACTCAGACACTAACACACACACACACACACACACACACACACACACACACACACACACAGGTGGGTTGGGTACCTATTACAGCCGTCAGGATAGATATCCATCTGATGGTGTCAAAGTGAAACTAGGCCATTTGTTCACTCTCACACCTCTCTCTTCCTTATTCCTCATTTCCTTCAGCCCGCACATCCTCCTCCTTTCCTTTCCTCTCAAACTCACTATTTCTTTTACAGTTCAACTACCTTAACTTCCCTTTCTCGTCATCCATTATTCCATCCATTTACACTTTTATTGCTACACAATCTTTTTAGAATAATTAGATCTGTATGGATCAATATGGTAAGAATTAAAGTGAGGCTGAACTCACAACATCTGTAATGTATAATGTGTATGAACTGGAGATCAGTGAGCTGCCTTAATGGTCCCATATAACGCTCCTTTTGGACAAGTTAATGTCTCCTGAATGTATCTGTTATGTTTCAGGTCACCACCTTTTGTTTTCTCTGCCATGTGTCTATTAACCTCTCTGTTTTAGACGGATTCCAAATGAAGCTGGTTGTAACTTTCAGTCTGTTGCCCATGACCCCTTTCATGCCCTTTTCCTGTGACTTACCTACTATTGCTATGAACACCTGGGTTAAAACAGAACCAATGTGTTTGCAGTGAGACTCATAAAAGTGAGCGTGTAAGAGGAAGAGCCGGTGCTTTATGAGCACTCGTTTCATAAACATCACCTAAGGCTACGTCCGTCGTTTTCTCTCCATTTTGGCCTCCCGTCCACACCGACACGGAAATGGTGGAAAATCACAGCTTTTGATGGAAAACGCAGCTTTTTGAAAACGCTCTCGAAAACGCGTACATTTGAAAACGGTGCTTTCGCGTCGCAGTGTGGACAGCGAAAACGGAGAGTTTCTAAAACAATGACGCATGTTAGTCATGTGATGCAGTCATGTGACCAATTAAACTAAGATAGCGGAGGGCATTATACAGCAGTTGTTTTGCTTGCTCTCAGTTTTAACAGCCCTATTAAATATTAATATCAGTCTGTGCATGCTCCAGATAGCTTTTCTTCAAATTCTTTAACTCTCACTCGCTTTTGCAACTTTGTAGTTTTGTGTTACTCGCAGCAACAACTCCACCTCATTGTTAATCCATTTAAAAAACTCTGTGCTTTTCCTCATTTTTCGGGAAAGCAAATAAGCGGCAGACAGAAATGTGGCACGTCGAATCTTCTTTCGTTTCACGCATGCGCAGGACTGGAACGTAAGCGTTTTCGGCCGTTTCAATGTGGACGCACAACTCTGTGAAAACGACTGAAAACGCTAGTGTGGATGCGGACAAAAACACCATTTTCAAATCTATCCGGGCTAGTGTGGCTGTAGCCTAAGTCAGCGGTCCCCAACCTTTTTTGCGCCACGGACCGGTTTATGCCCGACATTATTTTCCACGGACCGGCCTTTAAGGTGTCGCGGATAAATACAACAAAATAAAACTAGTACTGGTACCGAAAAAAAGAATATTTATTCATAACACACGTGAAAAGACCCAGGAAAACCGAGTTAACGATAAAAACGATAACAAAATAACGCTGAAAACCGATAAAAACCCTGAAAACCGTACATTTCACACCTGAGCCTCAACTCTCGCGGCCCGGTACCAAACGACTCACGGACCGGTACCGGTCCGAGGCCCGGGGGTTGGGGACCGCTGGCCTAAGTGACAAAAAAGCTTGATTTTATCAAAGAATGTTGTAGTTACAAACTTATTAAATGGCTATTTTGCAGCAAAATTAGGGATCACTTTGTAAATGATGGGAAGCACGACATCCCACTACAAGTTACTGGCAGCTAATTAAACTGTAGTCTTACACGTGGGCTCTTACAGCTATAAAAATGCAAAAATTCTTCAGGAATGATTTGAAGAAGATGACTGATTTCCAGGTGTTCCCTTTCCCAGCATTCCCAGTCTAATTCATACCAAGCATCTGTTTGATGTGCTGAAAAGACAAGTGTGATTCATGGAGTGTGCACCTCACCACTTACGGGACTTATGGGACTATTGCCTGTGGAGTCTGTTTTAACAGCACTAGAGCGTCCCAAACTATTTTAGGCAAATGTTTAAAGTGTTTGCATGTTCAGCAGGAGTATGGATATTTCAACACAAGAGGGTCAGAGATTGTGCTTAAGTACGGTCAGCTGACACACATGCCAAGACATACACAAATCCAGGCACGCATTAAGGAGTGCGCACTCATGCAACGCACACATGAACCGAGTAACACTTGTAACTGAAGTTTATAGCCTACAGAAGAAAGTGCAAAGGAGGAGGAGAAGAGGGGAGGAGGGGGAAGTGGAAGGGAGGAAAAATTATTACCATCCTTTGCCCTCCCTGCTAATAAAAAGCATAACTTCAAACATGTTTCTGATGATGGTTAAAGCAGGAGGAAATTGATTTATTTGAAGATGTTTTAAAGTGGATTTTTCACAGGTTGAGAGGGTCTTTGAAGCCATGCAAAGGTATATGTGTGTGTGAGGTTGCAGGATGGAATGTTCATGTCTTTAGGGCTGACCTTAATGTTAGTACAGTTAAAAAAAAAATAGTACTGCTGCTATCAGCCTCCAAATGCTGCCATGACCACCGCAGGGTGTATGTGTGTATTTGTGAGTGTGCTTGATATTACAACTAACCTAGTTTACTCAATACAAGCTCAAATATTTGACACCTAATGTGACTAGTCCTGAGACATGAAGAAGAGTTGGAAAAGTTTCACACTGAAAAAACATATTCGTTAAATTATTGATTAATTTGCCTTTCCGCTAGAGTTTTCTATGGAGGAAAGTGTATGTGGAGAGCATCTTAAGCATTATTGATGCATACAGTGCAAGAGCTTGGCTAAATGGTTCTTTAGCAGACAAGCTATTCATAAGTCTGTGCACTTTAAATATTACCACACTAAAATTCACACTTTTTATTTGGTAGAGAACAATTAAATTCAGCAAAGGCACAGCTCACAGTTATCCTCACTGGCTCCTTGAGATTGCATTTAAGAAATATATTTGATATATAAACGGTGAGAAACAAACACGATTTATGGATTCTGTGCTTGAGTCGTTGGTTAATGTATCTGGACAATAACCTTACCTGTTCGTAGTACTTGTTGTGAGCCACATAGTATTGGGAATCAAATGACTCCTCTGTCACCAACACATGCTGTCTCTCCCCTACCTGCACAGACAGAGGGAGGAAGAGTGAAAAGGAGAGAGAAAGAAGTTATCCAATGGATTTACTCAGACAAAAAGGAAAAATTGTACTATATTAAAGGTGGACATCAATTAACCAGTCACAATAAACAAGCTGTAAAGCCATTTGATTTAAGCTCATCCAATAAAACTGTGCTAGTTTTGCTGAAAAAGAACACATTTACTGCTGCAGCGTACACATGCACAGCAGACGTTTATGAATGTCTGCCGTGCATAGATGCGTTGGCTATGGGGTTGCAGTTTTTGTTACATAGGCCGCGTTTCTTCTTCAGTTTTAATTAAAGCAAGCTTCCTCAGTCAAGCTTCTATTCACGGAGATCCAATATTCAATAAAAGCTTTGCTCTTTCACGTTTTTTTCAAGTTTTATGTTAGTGCCCGCTGTTCACCTTTTAATTAAAATCTCAAGGTTTCAGAGCCACTTCAGTTTTAGTGCTTTGCAAAGAGATGGCGAGCACTATTCAGTTCAGAAAACTGCATTTAAAAAAAAAAAAGAAGAAAAAAAAGTCTACACACGATGCAATTCAGATGCATACAGAAAACAGTCTATTCAGGACATCAGAAAATCAAATACTACAAGGTCTCCCCATCTGGCAATTTAGTGTCGGATGAAATGAGAGAAAGCACATTTTTGTGGAGGAATGTTGTTGACTCTCCGAAGGATTCATAGAAGAGTAGAATAACTTTTTTGAAAGTTCTACAGGAAAGAATAAAATCTATTTAGGACTAGTTTTCTTACCAAAAAGGGGGAAGCGTTTCCACATTTGAACAAGAATCAATTCATCACAGTTTCTGTGCTTCATGACTATCTATACGCCCGTACATTTCCTAAACGGCTAATTCATTTTAAACATAATTTAACAGGTATAAATTATGCATTAATACTTCCCTTCATCTCTGACGTAACTTTGGCCAGTATCACCTTTAGGGTCATCTTCTTGGACAGCCGTGACTAAAAGTGACCAATGGATCAGTAGCTCCACTTGTGTTAAATCCTTGTATTTTCACTCTTCTCTTTATGGTAGACTTGATTAATGCGCACATGCATCACCTGGCATGCAGCCTGTTTCAGTTGCTCCTTTTTCTCCATATTTGAACTTTTAATTATTTTCTTTGTCTTTTACTTAGTATTAGATTGTTTGTTTTCATAGTTTTCTCATACATAATTTCCTGCCTCCTGGAGATTTTTCATGACCTTGTTGTGAAGAGGTTTTTCTATATCATGACTGATCACCACACACGCGTCTTGAGGATTTCCAGGCCGGTTTATGTTGCCAAACACAGCACAATGTACCAAACTGTGGATGTCCTAATGTTCACACCGTCTCTCAGATGGATTTGTTTTCTTTTTGCAGGCTAAGACAACTTGCACTGATATCTGCTTCGACTTGGGGTTCACAGAAGTACTTTTTAAAAGCCAACATGAGAGTTTAAACCGAAGCCAGGCTTTGATCTTCTAATTAATGAAAAAACAATAATGAAAAAAGTAAATTTAACAGTTTTGAGTAAACTGTCCATTTCATTTGAGCCCATGAAAACAGGCTGACAGCATTCAGGGCTTAAAGCAACACTGTGCAACTTCAACTGTGAGAAAAGTGTCACCGTTTAAACATTTTTGGACCTAACTGCATTTGAAAATGTTTCAAATTCAGGTGTCCTGTGGGTAGCATTTGCATTTTAACTCTGTCAGTGATGAGACCTTTACTCAGAGTATGCTGACTGATCATTTCCTTAGCAAAATGTCAGAGCCTTAGAAGTCATGGCTCTGACATATCGCCCAAGGTATTTCCATTTTTGCAGACGTCCATATTCTGCGCTCTCTTCTTCCTTTTTTTTTTTTTTTCCATGTTTACCCTTTTTCTTACATCCCTCTCTACTGTCTCTGGGCTGTCTCTTTGTTTTCAGCCACTTCCTCTCATCATTGACTGACTCTCACAGAGAACACCTGCAGAGGATGAGACAGACTCAAAAAGCAATCAAATAAATTGTTTTTATTTGAAGGGTTTTATTTTCAGGGGGAGAAGTGGGTAAAAAAAAAAACATAAGACCATTATTACTGGACAGCAAGCACTCAATTGTTGCCTTTCTTAGTGCACTTAAACTGAAAACAAAATATTTTTCCAGGAAGATAAAAAATACCTTTTATTTAGTCATAGTCAAATTCTCCTTTCCCCTTCAAGTACATTACAAAATTATAATTATAAAATTTATGTGGAAATGTATGCACACATACTAATGTTGCCTGAGTGCATCTAAAAAAGAAAGTATTGTTGAAAAAGTTATTTTTTGTAATTTAATTGATAAAAATGTAATTTTCATGGAGTCTAAGTGCATATGTCAAACTTCTCTTTAATTTTAATTTTGATTGAACCCTGGTATCTTTAATTCAGCTTTTCAACACATTACTGCTCAAACAGTAAAATACTGTGTAGCTTAATTTAGCTCTGTACATGCAAACACAATCTTGGGGAAGACTGCAAACTTGACAGTGGCCCAGATGACCATCATCAACACCATCTAGAAGGAAGGCGAGCCACAGAAGGTCATTTCAAAAAAGGCTGACTGTTCACAGTGCTGCATGGAAAACTAAGTGGTAGAGGAAAGTGTGGCAGGAAAAAGTGCACACACAAGCAACAGGGATGACCGTAGCCTTAAGAGGACTGTCAAGAAAAGTCGATTCAAGAACACGGGGAATGAAGCCACAGATGGGTAGGAATGTGGCTAAACTGTCACATTACCAATGTCAAGCCACCCCTGAACCAGAGACAACGTCAAAAGTGTCTAAGTACTGAACTGCTGCTCAGTGGTCCTTTTTAGATGAAAGTAACATTTTAAGTCAAGGAAATCAAGGTCCTATAAACAGTCTTAAGGTCCTACGGCAGGATAATTCAAGCTAGTGTGAAGTTTATTCATTCTGTACTGATTTAGGGTCCCATGTGGTCATCTTCTAATGGTGGTGAAGGTTTACCCACTATGTATGATCAAGTCAAAAAGTCAATGTTGCAACCTACTGGAGGTTTCAGAGCATTTCATCCATTCTTTCGCTGACAAGCTTCATAGAGATGCTGATATCTTTTCCAGCAGGACTCAACACTTTCTCACAGTACCAAAACTGCTGACCAACTTTTACTGTACTTGATTGACCTTTATATTTACCATTTTGAATTAAATAAAAAATAAATAATGTAAATATTGTAAGGAGTAGTTCCAAAGTAGTTCTCCAGTTATAACAGTTTATGCATGCATTTGTTTTGGCTTGTTTTTTCCTCTCATATCTGCGTATGTATGTGTATTTAGATTTGTATTTACTCCATCTGTTGAAGAACGTCACAGCTTTACAAAGAAGGACTGAATGTCTTTACACAGCATGATGGTTTTTTTATTTCACCATCCAGAGAGCAACATCCCAGGATACACCGAAGATCCAGTAAAGATTTGCGGGATCATGTGTTTAATTGATAATTAATCCACATCATAACAAGAACAAGGAGATGACTGTGGCTTTGAATTTTAATCACCATTTTTATCTGTGCCACTAAACATCATCCAAATGATTTTGCTGCTGTCGTTTTCATTTTGAGCAGGAAGACTAATCCGGGCGAGAAGCAGTCGGTGCATGTTGTAGTGGGATACGTAACGTCATTCAGACATAGGTTAGTATTACATTCATGCCCGTCACAGCTTCATTCAGACATTCCCACAATGATGCAACAAACCACTATTACAGAATTATTTAATACGTGCAAGATTTCACAGCACAGCAGCTGATATTTAATGCATTGGGTTAGAGTTTTCTTCGCATGGGGACTACATTTTAATACTTAAAGCAGTCAACTAATAAAAAAAGCAGCTCAAGTATATAAATCACTGATCCCTGTTGTCGTGTTCAAATGTCTGCAATTATTTTTTCAGTTATTTACGACATTACGAGTGTACTGTAACTACTGTTACACCATGTGTGTAAATGCATGCACCTCTTTCAATTTGGAGAAGGTTGCTGACGGACTGTGATGTTGTGTGGTGCTGCAGGTATGCAATAAAGAAAGTGACGACAAAAAAAAAAAAAAACTTTGTCAGAAACAGTATTGTAGTTTCTTCTTTTGAGTCGTAAACCTGAACATCCGCCTTTGGTTTGTTCTGAAATGTTGAAAAGCTCAGTTTGTGTGGAGAAGAATCCTGAACACCACTGTTGAGCAGTGGCTTGTAGACTTACAAACACAACGCTAAATGCCGTTCTAGCAACCATTGTACATTTTATCACAACAGTCTTCCACAGACGCACTCATTTTTACCTCAACTATCCTCTGCACTCATTATCCATCCATGTGATTCTTATATACACACACACAGTTTATCACACAAACACATACATAAACATACACAATACATAAACGTTGCTCAACTATGACATACGCACAAAGTGGCACACACACGGCTTTTTTGTAGCTACTTGTAGAAAGATAGTTTGTTTTGTTGGCTGCTGAACAATCGCTGTGGGGTGTGATTTAACAGGGCTAAAGAAAGAAGCTCTGATCTTTAGGAGGTTCTCTTTGATTCTTGAAAGATGAAGGGAAAAATCGCCCCTGTTGGTCTGGGTATTTTGTTTTAGCCTCAAAGTAAAAAACAATATAAAAGAGACTCAAATTTTTAAGTGTTGGCCATGAAACAGAGGGGATTATGGGTGGTTTTGGTTTAATGATTGCAGGGACAAATGTAAAATCAAATCAAGTTATACAAATAAACTGTTCTACACAAGGCATAATTACTTTAGACAGAGTAATAGCTTACAAATGATGAAGACACAAGGAATAGACGCAAGAAAGGTTGGAAAACAAATGAAAAAAGGATCAACATTGAAGAAATTTAGTCAAACTAAGCTAAAACAGAATAGCCTGGGAGCAGATATCAGATCTTTGTCCCAGTCAAAGCCTCTACAAGCTGGTCCAGGTCAATAACTTCACACACAT